CTCTTGCCTAAGACTTGGAGGCCTTGGGCATGGCAAGTTTATAATACAGAATTAACTGAGATGTGTTTCTGGTTGTGAGTACCATGACAGCTTGTGTGCCATAAAGCAAAGCCATGGTTTGATGGATTTATTGTGGAGTAATGTGTAATCTTAGGAATTTTTAACAATGGAGTAGGTGGGTATTGGTGTGACATTTTTAATGCTTTGGAAGTTACAACAGTTCATGGTAATGTGTTAAACATCTCTGCTTGGTGATACTTTTCAAAGGAATTGGAAAAAAAAGTAATGCTATTAAAAAATGAATTTGTTTTCTTAAAAGTTTGACAAAGTAGAAGTTTGGATTTTGAGTGCCTGACCACCAACATATTTGCATTTTGAAAAAAGGCAAAAAGAATAAGAGGCTAAAAATGGTTATTTTAGTGTGCTAATGCTGCATTGACTTTCACTTTGTAGACATCATCATTTGATTGCACACCATCTCCCAGCAAGACTCCTTCAGAAAATCCACTAAATATAATGTTGGACATTGTTAAACAAGAAACAGAAGAGTCCTGTGACTCACCTAAAATCAAAGAAGAACCTGAAGACACCCCTCCTCCTGCCTGTGCAGAAGAGAGCACACCTGCATCTACAGAAATCAAAACAGAACCTGAGGAGTCTGTTTAAATAAACTGCGGTATGATTTCTTTTTTTTTTTTTTTTTTGTTTTTTACAGAGGAGCTGCTGTGTTAATTCTGGAAGACAAATACTTTTTATATGAATAAAATGTCCAATTGAGGCAGGGCCTCAACTACTGTTTGGTTAATAAATACATTTTTGTATTTGAAATTTCTTATTGCCTGCACAGTTTCAGGTGTCATTGTGTGAAAGTTCTGTAGATGCGTGAAAATTTAATGGTATATGTAAAAATGTAAAATTTTCACTTGTTGAAATGTAAATTATAAATAAAAGATATTTTTGCTATGTATGGAGTGTAATGTTTATGCACACCATCAAATAAATACAGTGTTTCTGTACTTTTTTCAGTTTAAAATTGATTAAAATGAATTTTTGCTTAATAAGATTCGGAAAAATGAAAGCAAGACTCTTCCTTCAGTTATCCCATAGGTGGGTTATCAAGGGAAGGAGCTTCTCAGACAGGCCTAGATTCCTTGTCTTTTTAAAGTTATTTGAACAAGCTTACATATCCAGATGTTTAAAAAAACAATTACAACAACAAAATAATAAAAAAATCCATAGAAAAACTCACAAAAAGACAGTTCTGGGTAGAAGGGGAAAATTTAACAAACCAACAGGAGTGCTTGATTGTGGTGAACACAAGTGCCAACAAAAAAGATTAACAAACCAGGATGCCTGGTAGTTAAGGTGTTTTTAATGATTTTTTTTTTCCAGTAGTCAAACACAAATTTAATAAAGCTGAATTTTCTTTACGTTACAGGGGGGAATGAATGTAAGAATGCTCATTTGAAACATAGTTAACATTTTCTTTTTTGTTGCTTATGACTGGACTTAGATGGTAAACCAGATATCCTGAGATGTTAATATTTCTTAAATGTTATAAATAAAACTAAGCATATATTTGAGTGTGAGTCTCTTCCTTTCAGTGATGGGTCTGTGTGGCTGGTACGTTTGTGGGAATTGAAATAAAGTTGTGTGTTTCAGTATGCATTTGATATTTTATTCACCCTGCTAGTTACAGTGTGCATTTTTAACTTGCTGGGAGCAAGACAGAAGCACTAAAACTCAGAAAGCAATGTCGCAGTCCTACCAGGTTATACTGGGAGTCAAATTCCCCCTTAGTGTGCAAGTGGAAATAATTAGCAGTGCAGGAGACATTGGCTGCAAAAACTTCTTTCCATGTTGACACCCCAGCTTCACACAGTTTTGAAGGTGTGAGTCATGCTTTGATTCTTCTATTAAGGTTGGAACTGTAGATAGTTGTTTTATATGTAATTCTAGTGAGCTTGCCCTGTTCTAGCTATGAGACTTTAAAATGCTGTTTAATTATAGACAGTCCAAAGGCACAAAAATACAATGGATCAGGGTGGTGTCAGTCCATGCAGTGGTGTGTGTGGCTGCTGGCTGTGTTGTAGGGGGTACTCCTACGTTGTTGCAACCTCTTCCTGGAGCAGGGATGTAGCCTGGTCCCCTGGCCCAAATATGATGCTTTGTGTCCTGGAATACCTTGAACTTCTAAATCGCACCAACTGAAGTTCAGAGGAGACTGAGCGGAGACGTGGTGTCTTTAAATATTCAGAAGGCTGTTCAGAAAAGGGAACAAATTACTCTGTCTACTAGAGATAGAACAAAAATGAGACCTATAAGTCGCAGAAATAGGCTTTATGACAGCTCTTTAATGACAAGGATAATTAAACCCTAAATGGTTCATTAAGCGCACTTGGTCCATGTAATTACCACTGCACACCTGTAAATCTGACTGGGAAGGGTTCATTCTGCCTGGAAGCAGGATTCTGGAAATACAGTGTCCTTTTTTCCCCCCCCTATCAAAGGAACCCGGCTTACCCCCAGGGTACCAGCTAGTTTTGACTAAGGGAACAGGGGAGCAGGATCGCGTCGCTGCAGAAAGAAATGAGGGCTAAAGGTTCCCACAACGTGACCGGAGTCAGATCATCTGGAGCATAAGCTGGTTCAGTACTTGCTCAGAGCATCACTGGCGGGGTTCCGAGATGAGAATTGGTTCTTGTTACATTTCTCGTGGGGATCAATCACCGTGACGGCTGCAGCCCAGGGCCGCCGGAAGGTGCAGAACGGCCCGAACAGCTGCAGCGCAGCCCGCGCGGCAGGGCCGGGCCGGGCCAGGCCCCTCCCGCCATTTTCCGCCGCGGGAGGGCGAGCCCGGGGCCCATGGCAACGCCGGGGAGGGAGCAGCAGCAGCAGCAGCAGCTGGAGGGAGCGCTCCAGGCGACAGCGGCGAGCTGCCGGCCCCCTCGCAAGGGGCGGCTGTGCCCCGCTCCAGCCGGTGAGACCGCCCCGCCCGCCCCTCCTCCGCCTGCTCCTCCTCCGCCTGCTCCTTCCCCCGTCCCCTCGCCGCGGGCGGCCCAGTGGCGCGGGGCGGGACGGGCTCTCTCGAACCCCGGGTCTGTGGCAGGGGCTCCGCCGGGACGCACACGCAGCACTGAGCAGGCTCCATAGCCACCAAAAGCGCAGGGAAAGGCGGTGTTTGGCGCCGGCCGGCCGCGCCCTCCCCATGCCCCAGGCCTGGCAGCTCCGCCTCCGCCCGGAGGGACGCGCTGGGCCGGGCCGGGCCGGGCCGGGCCGGCGGCTCCCGCGGCCCTGGGGCTGCTGCCAAAGCCGAGCTCCGGGGGTTGGGTTTGTGTGTTACGGAAACATCGCAACACCTAAATTGTGCCTTTCCCTATTCCGAGCCATATCCTTCTTCACTTAATCTCTTTAACTGGATTTTGGGCAGGTACCGATCTCAAAGTGCTTACTGAATTCTTTCTGCAAAGTTTTGTCCCAGAACATTGAACGAGTGTTTGGTGACAATTTTTGGTAAAAAAAAAAATTGCGCTAAAATTACTGAGCCTGCCCTTCGCTTTGAACATCAATGTGTCTTCTTACAGAACTGATATTAACAGCTTTTTTCTGAGCTTCAGTGCCAGGCTGCTGCCTTTGTCCTGTGCCCAGAAGCCAGGGCAGCCACCCACCCTTGGCATTCGTCTCCATGCAGTAGGACGTATCCAGAGCGAGAGGGGAGACAAAATTATTTCTGCTGGTGGGCCTTGTTGTTTGCTTTTCTTCTGGGTTAAGGGGGAAAAAAAAAAAAGTTGCCTTGAACTTGCTGTACCGAAACATTGTGTTAAACACATTAGAACTTTGCCGAGCAGTGTAATCAGCCCGCCCTGCCTGTGATGTTGTGTAATTCGGCTGAAGTCTGTAACCCTCACTTGGTATAATGAGCAATTTCTTCCTTGGGGGAAAATTATGTCGTGGTGAAACTGTTCTTCAAAATAACCCAAACAACTCAAACCTCAAAACATGAACTAGATGACCTCTTGAGGCCCCTTCCCGCTGGAATTATTCTGTGTTTCTGTGCTGCTGCTGTTTGTTTGTACAGTGTTTTGCAGGATGGAGTCCTGGTTTTGAAGTTTTCTAGGCTTTGTGCAGGGCAGTGATGCAGCCTGCCAAGCTGGGGAGGTGGAGGTGGGGTGAGACAGAGGCACAGGATCTAAACCCTGTGTTACAGCACACACAGGGTGTGTTACTGTCAGGCTGGAGTGCTGGAGCTTCACTCATCCCCTCCTCTCTGTGGCAACCCCAAATCTGCCCAAGCTCTACTATCACACTGCAGATAACGTGAAAACAGGCACTGGTAAACTGCAGAGGATGTTTTTAATTATATCTAGTGCTTTTTTTCAAATATGACAAACACATGCAATATCTCTTTTATAGTTTTTATTATTTTTTTACCTTGAATTGTGTAACAGTGTTAACTGCCACTACCATTTCATCTCCACAGGCAGAGGAACTGAGGAACTAATACCTTGAGACCTTCAGTTTTATGCTTTCTTGACTTGCTAAACAGTAGCCCAATTCTTCAGGACTTCCAGCAGTGTGAAATGTAATCAGTGTGTTGGTGCATTTTGGTACTGGAATGATGACTACTGCAGAAGGTGAATACTAATTGGTTTAGGTTCCTTTCATATTTGGTGATCTGAAGTTAGCCCCCTTGGCCATTAGATCTACTTACATCTCATATTTCTGTTTACAAGTTTTGTCAAGGTACCAAGATGTTGCAAGGGGTTTGGATATGTAATTCTTATTGTTTCCAGTCTTGTAGTTAATCAGTGGAAAGGCCTAAAGGGAGAACACAGGTCATTTGATACCATGGCCTGGTGACAGAAGATTTTTTTTTTCTTTTGTACTACTGCTTCTACATTTAGAGTTTGATTCTGTGCCATGAATGTCAAATCTGATATTTTTTTGATTCATCACACATTCTCTATCTCTTAAATGTTGCTGATTTAAGCAGTGGACTAATGCCCTTTCATTACTCCTCACTAGTTGTCAAGAAGAAGGAAAATTACACTAGTGTGCACGAAGCAGTGAAAGCTGGGGATGTAGAACAGCTTGCATCGATGATAAAAAGTGGAGCCAGTATTAATGAGGTGGATGTAGTTCACAAATTCACACCCTTGCAGTGTGCTGCCCACTCGGGAAGTCTGGAGGTAAAGCATTACCTTAGTGTACAGGCATAGCTATAGTTCCTGTTTCCTTCTTTGGGAGAGGCTGAACACAACATTGCTTTGATCAGACTGAATCAATAATTTCTACCTGTTTTTCTTATTAAATATATTCACCAAAGGCAGGAGCACAGGATTTTGGATTTTATTTTTTTCTTTCTGAAGACCCAGGCAATTTACTTAATCAACTTTGCCACATTTTACAAAATCCTTGTGTTTCTTACTCTGAGTAAAATCTGCCTTATAGCCCCCCTTTCAGACTCATGACCTTCTTTTGTCTCTATTGCATTTTCTCCTTCTCTTGAGACACCTAGAAAACCCTGTAGGATGTGTAAAATGTCCTAAAGGTGACTGAAACAGGTGAGAAGTGACATGAAAATATATTTATTCTGCTTACCAGTGCCCCATGCATCATTCTCCATAGAAGTAGTCCTAATACACTTTATTTTAATAAATGAAAATGTTGAATAATGGTAGAGAAATCAGCAAGTGATTGCATCAATATTTTAAACTTCCAGAAGGACTGAACTGCTGTGTTCAGCACAACATTCTCCTTCTTCTTGCAGCCTCCTTGTTCATTGTCCATGGCAGTCTAAACTTGAAGCAGCAAGGCCATTCATGTCCCAAAAGAAAAAGCGTGAAGTTCTTGCTACACTCAAGAATTGCTAAATGCAGAGCTGCTTCTAGAATGTAGAGACACTGTCATGAAAATGCTAATGTCAGCCCCAAAGCCAGATTGGTTACCTTCCCCTTCTGCCTCTCTAAATTCTGCCATTTTTCATTTGACTCTCCTACTTTGCAATCAGTCTGTTAGACTTTATTGAATTATCTGTCATCTGTTTGTCAGTAAGCTCCTTGGCAGAAATAGTGGAGGAAGCTGTAAGATGGCCTGAAAGAAGTTAATAAATCATAATAATATATAATAAAAAGTTCTAACTGTTCCTCTAGCTGTCTTTGAATAGTTCATAAAGCTTTCCATTGCAAGCAATGATATCTGCTGGAAAAAGATGAATAAAACAAAACTAGGCCATGGAAGGATGAGAAGAGATATGGGATTACATATGCCTAAAAAGCCTAATAAATTAAATGAGGCTTTAAATTTAGTATGTGATCTTTTTCCTGCCAGTAATTTTAGCTGGAATTCATGTGAGCATGTTTGCATTGTTTTTTCCAATGCTTTTACCTCATGCCATAAGAATACTCTCACAGATTACATTTTAAATCTGGAAGAGTAAAATGATAAAGTCATACTGTAACATTGATGCTAGGATCTGAATTTGTTGGTTATTTGCACATTTTGTACCCTTGGGTGAAACCTGGAAAGTATAACTTACCCATTAGTTCCTAATTCACAAATACCTGTTTAAGGCATGCTCTGGGATCTCCTATTTCCATAAGGAAGTATTCCAGCACTGTTTTGAAATGTAACTGTGATGGATGGATGGATTCTAGCTGAAACGTGCCTCAGAGTCACGATGGGAGCAGTTAAATAGGAAGCCTTTGGTTTTGTTGAGCAGTGCCTGCAGTGGCTGCTGTGGCATGGAGCTGACACCGCACGCGTGACCGTGAGAGGCTGGACTGCGGCTCACCTGGCGGCCATCCGAGGGCAGGATGCCTGCATGCAGGTACTGCAAATACTCTCAGACAAGAGTTACTAGGGCACACCTTAACACTGGACAAATTCATTATGAAGATCAGCTGAGGGAGCTCCTCAGGGAGCTATGAGTAGCTCATTTGATGTCCTGACATGTCAAATTAAGTTAGTCATTTTCAGAGCAGAGCACTCATTTGTGCTGTCTGTGCAATCAGATCTGTTTTGTGCAATACCAGACCCCTGAGGTCAGCCCAGAGTTATCCTGCTGGTCATCATGCACCATCCTTCTAGGAAATGTTTGCTTTTTCAGCTTGTGAAATGCACGTGTGCTTTGCATTTCTTTCAGGCCCTGTTACAGAGCGGAGCGGACGCAGCGGCTCGGGACGAGCGCGGCTGCACGGCCTCGCACCTGGCCGCAGCCCACGGGCACTCGTACACGCTGCAGAGCCTGCTGCGCACGGGGGCGGTGAGACTCCTGCCGGCAGGCCTGCTGCACTGCCAGAGCCCGGCAGCCTCTCCCGAGCCAACCTCTCCCGAGCTTGAACCGACATTTAGGGCTGGAGATTAATTACTGGGGGGGGGAATTTATTCCGTGGGTAAATTTCCGGTTTTTTAGATTGTGATATACATTTAGGGACATGATCAAAAAATGTAGAGAGAATCAATAATGTGAGTAAATCACCTTCTGCTGAGGATGTCATTAAATGAGCATCACGTGCTGGGGTGATGGTAATTTTTTGCAGTTCTAAAAATCTTCTATAGTAAAGGAGACATAAACTTAAAAAAGGGAAAATTAGCCCAGATGCATATTTAAGGAATAATGACCAATGCAGGTCACTATGATGATAAAAACATATCTAAAAATGCACCTTTTCTAAGTGTATTAAGTAAAAGCAAGAACCTGTGAACAGTACCTGTCGTGAAGCTGAAACTGCATATAATGCATGAACTTTGAAAAACGTTATCTGGTTTGATTTAAATAATTTAAATTATTTAAACAATGAACAGCGGATTTCCATATATAAAATTTGTCTTGTGTCCTAGGATTCAGAAGTGAATGAATTAACTTGCTACTTTCATTTTAGGATGTAAATGTTTCAGACAGGAATGACTGGAAACCTGTTCATTATGCTGCTTTTCACGGTCGCTTGGGGTGTTTGCAGCTTCTTGTTCGATGGGGAGCGTGTGTAGATGATGTGGATAACAATGGAAACCTTCCAGGTATATCAGGATAAATCCTATGTTTTTAAACCTTTAGTTTACAGTTGTGAAATGTGATGATTGAGCAAATTATAACTAATGCACAGCAGCAGCATTTGCTATTTGATTCCATGCAATCCACATAGATAGCCCATTTTTTCCAAAGTGTTACTGTTGGTGACAGAATCCCATTCACTTCCTGCTGCTGCTAGCAAGGATGAGAGTTCACAAATGCTGGTATGTGGAGCAGGCTGAGCCTGATTGGGAGCAGGTGAGCAGCATCTCCTGCGTGTGTGATGGAACTTGTGTGCCAGTGGAGGTCGCAGGAGAAGGATAGGTGGAGGGGGAGGTAGTTTCAGCTGCTATGTGCTACTCTTGACTTGGTGCCAGTGTGATGAGGTTCTGGTGTGTTTGCATGCAAGTTTTTGTATCCCACTGTTTCTTAACTGATTTTGTGAAACAGTTGTTTTCATTTTCCTGTGATTTCTTCATCTTGATTTCTGGAATACTGCTTTTTCTGGATTATCTGTAATTTATTTTCATAATTATCAGTGCATTCACTTCAGCACAAAAATTTGCCAGTGATTGTTCCTTGCTTTTTGTATTTTCTCCAGTATCCCTCTCCCTAACATACCACTGTCTCAATATCCTCTGTAAGCTCAATGGTATTGTTCCTGTCTTGAATTCTCCTTGCATCCTTTTCATTTTAGCATTTTCCTTCTTATGGTTTGTCGCATTATTTGTTCCAAAGAGCATATGTTTTTCTCTATAACTTGTACAGAGTTATCTTTATAAATCCCTTCTTAAAATCTTTTACCCTCTACTAAGGACTACTTACCTAGGAAACAGATAGCCATGCTGTGTTTTGCAAACCTGGGGCTTCTTAAAGGATGTGAGGCTGCTGCATCCCAGCAGGACAACATCTGGTGCATTAGCAATAAGGGGTCACGATGTGAGGCACCCTGGGGGCAGCATGGAAGGCAGCTTTATTTGCATTTGGGAACACTTCCCTGATAACAGACTTCTGTGGAGAGAAAGCAGATGTCAGCACAGTTCTACTTAAATGCTCTGTATAAAATGGTTAGTAGAAAACTGCTTTTGTTGTGTTTTGGCATCTACAGAAGCTTGATCTCCCAACCTTTGATGTGTTTCATTTCATCATATTATCTTCCAAATGAAAGAGGATATTTTGGAACAAGGCTAGTAACAGATTAGTAGAAGTACTGTGCAAACCAGCTTGTTGTCTGCTTGTGTAACAGAAGTGAACTTAAATTATCTTTACATGCTTCAGCTTCAAGATTAGCTGAACTGTGCAATAATTTTTCCTAAGAGAATACTGGAAGAAATTTTTTGAGGTTGCAGTGCCAGGCACCTGAAACTTAGAACCTGGCTGCATCTTTTGTATATGTATGCTACAGCAAGGGGTCTAACTATCTTTGCTACTTTCCTTGTCAATATTTTGGAGGAAAAAAAAAATTCTGTGGCTCATTCAATGTACAGAATGGGCTGTGCTTATTAACTGAACATTTCAATTTGCTTTCTCTCTATTCATTTTTGGGCCACTTCCCTGCTTCTTTTATTGCTCACTAGTTAAACCTATTCTAAATATTTTTCACAGACACAATTTCTTGGCTGGTGGCTTTGAAAAGAGTGAATATTGTTAGTCCAATTTTATAAAAGACAAGATGAAACACAGAGAAAATTGGATACTGACAGGTTTTAGGTATCTGAAAACGGATTCGTAAGGGTTGAGTCAGTTTTTCACTAGCTGACTTACCTTTAGCATGGTACCCTTCTTTTCCCTTCTCCCTGAGAACCTAACTCACTGACTAAAATTCAGTCAATGGCAAAAACTGCCCTTATTTCAGTGAAGCTCAGATTTTAAACTGTCATGGGTACAGAGGTATTGTCATCTTGCTGTAAAACCATTGTCCATAGCCTTTTAGAGCAATTATGCTCTGGAAAGCTGTGGATGGTTTGGTTTGCTATAGAGAACTTGTATGTGCCAAAAATGAATTGACATGGGTTTTTTGGGTCCTGGGCCCATTGTTTGTTGATTATGAAGATAGTGAGATTCTTATCTGGAGACAAACTAATACTTTTGCCTCTAGAACATCAGCCAGCTGTTACAGAGCAATTTTCATGGAGTGAGAGATCATAATAAGCATTTATTTGGCAAGTTCTTCTCATTAATGGGATTAGAGTATATTACTTATGTCAAGTCAGCATGTGTTTGGTACCTCTTACTTTGTTGTAGGCCCAGCACTGCAGTAATATTAAGTAAGTAAACCTCTGCATACCCTAAAGGTCAGGTGAGGAATGTACCTTCAAATATTTTGTCCAGTGAAGCACCTATCACTGTCCTCATTTTATGGGTGAGGTAACCGAGGGTGTGTTGAACTTTTTTGTGGTGGCACAGGAGAGGCTAAAGCAGAAATGGCCTTAGCTCCTAATCAAGGACACTGCTTGCTGTCCCCCCTGTGAGGAGTATCCCTGGGACAGCAGGGTCAGCGGGATCCGTGTTCCTGGGGAGGTGAGGCCCAGCAGTGCACTCTCTGAGCTAGGATTTGGTGCTCTGCTGGGAGTCTCTTCTGTCTCCTGCAGTCAGCTCCACCAGGGGATCATCTTTGCAGATCCCATCCTTGGCAGCTTTACCTCCTTTGCCTAGAGCTGAACTCTGTCCTGGGTGGAGCTGAACATCTGCAGTTCAGCTGAGGCTGCTCTTCCCCTTGTGCAGTGTTGGATGGCTCACGTGCTGCTAGATGAGCCAACTCTAACCAGTGGTGGGAGCATTGCTTTCTCAGTGGGCAGCAGGGCTCAGCTCTAGCACCCTTTGTTTCATTTGTGCTCTAGCACATCTGGCAGCAGTGGAAGGACACTTGCATTGCTTTAAGTTCTTGCTCAGGAAAATGGCCAGTGTCACACACACTCTGAAAGCCAGGAATGACCACGGAGAGACTCCAAGGGACTTGGCTGAACGGTTCTACAAAGATAATATTCTGCAATATATCGATGGTGTGGAAAAAGAGGAGGAACATCCAGAGACACAGGAAGGTGAGTATGGATTAAGATACACTTAAAAAAAGCATTATGTGTAATTCTGCAGAAGTACACAAAGGTGTACTTGTTATTTCAGGTCTGTGAAATTAATCTCTTAACTGTATGAGATGCCTGTAGCCATAACTAAGACATGTTTAGTCAAGTGTCTGGTGAGCACTGCTGGTTACACAGTTGCATTTCAGCTGATTAAGGAGCATCGTCCTTGCTACCTCTGAAGTGTCCATACATAATTTGCTATGAGAGAGAGAGGTGAGCTGTGAGACAAATACCAGCATGTTCAATAGAACTGCTGGCATCTGCTTGGAAACATGTGCCTTTCATTTTCAGTTTTAGCTTTCCCAGCTCATGATGCTGCTTTCAGTGGGGACTTGTTAGTGGTTAGAAGCCTAGTAAGAAGTGGAGTAATCAACATTAATGAGCGAGACGATAAGGGATCCACTCTGCTGCACAAAGGTCAGTAAATATGATCTGTGCTTCAGCTTGTTACTCTTTGTTGCTGATTCATTTACTTTGTTTTTCAAGTGGCTGCTTATCGGATAAACTTAATGAAAAACAGCATCTCATTTCTTGAGGGCTTGGAAAGGCAACATCAAACCCCATATTTTGTAATGTATATGTGCGTGGGTCACTTTAAAAACAATATAACCAAGCTCAAGTCAGGGAAAAAGAGCTTACAATGAAGAGAAATCAGCATCTAAACTGAAAACCAAATAGCTCTGACATTTATTTACTACTTGTATATCAATATCATGTCAGGTTTGTTGGAATTAATCCTGATTTTCAGTGACAGAAAGAACAGATCAAGCACATGAATTCCAGCTCTGAGTGATAAGCAAGGCTGTATTCTAGATATAAAAGTTTTTAATTTTCACTTAATTTAATGTAACAAAATAGTTTTGATTTTTTTTTTTTTTAATCAGGCAAGATGTGGCTTTTAGAAACATCTGGCTGGCTAAGTATAAGAATGATCTGTACTGTGGCCTGGCCTTTATTTACTGAACACATCAGTACTGTGGGGACATGTTGTAAAAACCACAACAAAGTAATTTGGTAGGATGCTGTGAAGAAAGGTAAACTTCTGGTTGGCACTTTGGCGTGTAGTGGACTGCTGGCATTACAGAAAAAATGGTTCTTTTGTGTTTGGGGTTTCACAGTATTATCTGAAAGAAGAAACAAAAGACAAAAGAAAGAGGGAAGCATTTTTGTAATATGCTTTTAACACATTTCTTACATTTCTTTTTGACTAGATATATAGTAGAATTTTCAAAAACATAATTGAGGTTCTTATTAAAATAACTGATATGTAGCTATTTTAAAATCCCACTTTCTTTTCTTGGAATTATGCTAACCTACAGTTGTTTCATCCCCAATGTTTCCATGCTGATGTTGTAACTTCATTTCCTTATCTCAGTAAGAAAACAAATATAAAAAATATCCACTGGGGAGTGCTGTCAAGAAATGGATTTTTTCTTCCTTGAGAAAATCAATGTACAGTTTCATCTAGACTTGCCAAGTACCATCTTCCATAGATGAGACATTGTTCCTGGCACCACGTGGTGGGAGCAGTGGCCATGGCACATCATATGAGTAGGGTTGTGTTAGGATGCTGCTGAGAGGTGCTGCCTTGAGTGTCTGCCCCAAGAAATGCTGTACCTTTAGCTCCAGCACAAAGTCCTGCTTGTCTCTCCTGAGACAGCAGCAGACACCCCAGGCTGGGGCAGCCAACTGTGTCTGACCCCTGGGAGCCCAAAGCCAGGGAGAGATGGCAGCACCTGGCTGCCAAACTGTGGCATGCAGGCCTTTCTTACTAGGGTAGCAGTTATTTGTGTGTCTTGTGCTCTGTACATGAGACTGGGCAAGTTTAGTTTAGCTTGTGTTCAGCAAGAGCTGCCAGTGCATTTCTAGAACTAGAAAGAGTCACCAACCACACTGCAGTGCAATGCTCTGCCCCAAAACTCTGTACCCAAGTGATTGTCAGCATCTTGACACAGAGGCTCCTCTTGAAATAGTATCTCCCTTGTGGTGTCTTAGTGAACCCAATCTCTGACTTGCCAAATAATGGCAAGAGGAGGACATTTTAGGTTTGAAACACTTCAGTTGTATATAATTGACTTGTGTATGCCTTCCTTCCCTTAGCTGCTGAACAGGGGCATATCCATTGCTTACAGTGGTTGGTTGAAATGGGAGCTGACTGTGACATTACAAATGATGCTGGAGAGACTCCAAAGGATGTAGCCAAGAGGTAGCAGTACATATCCTGTAGCTCTGACACTTATTTACTTACTATTTGTGTATCAATATCATATCAGCTTTGTTGGAATTAATCCTGATTTTCAGTGATGGAGAAAGAACAGATCAAGCCCATGAATTCCAGCTCTGAGTGATAAGCAAGGCTTTATCGTAGCTATAATATTGTAACTATAAAAGGTTTTAATTTTCACTTAATTTAAGTTTCTTTTTAGTGAGGTCATACACAAAAGAGGAAAACTAGCTTGTGGCCAGATTTCTCTTCACAGAGTAAAGCAAGGCACAACTTCCCAAGGATTTTCTGGGATTCACGTTCTCTGAACCTCAGAGAAAGGAAAAACAATTCTTATCTCATTTACTGCTCCTGTGTTTTAGAACAAGTAGAATGCATTGTAGAAAATTTTTCTCCCTTCGTTGGGGGTTGCCTGTCTCCAATACTAGCTCATTTGTCAGAGGACAGTTTTGAGCCCTTATGCTCACAGTTTGCTATACAAAGTAAATGACAAGTAGCAGAGGCCAGCTGCTTTTTGCATTAATAAAAATAATGCAGATTCTGATGAAATTCAATTAAGAAACCCTAAAAAGGAAAGAGATGGCTCTCATGTAGGAGCCATTGCCATAAGATTCCATTGAGGCAGAACTCATGCCATAAGAATACTACAAAAAGCAGATAGATAATTTTAGTGTGTGTCTAGTCTTCCTTTAGTTCTGAAACCCCTCTGATAAATGGGAACATGGGCAGTGTGAGAGTTTCTACCACACGTGTTTTTCCAGATTTTAACTGTTCTCTGTGCAGATTTGGCCATCTGGCAGCTGTGGAACTGTTGACACCAAGAACTGGAAACAGTAACTCTAGTGATGAAGAACTAGATGCAAGCAACATCAAGTTTTTTGAAACACATGGTGTGGAAGGGAGTACAGATAGCAAAGAAGATTTAACTCTGGATGAAGCAGAGAAAAGGAATGCACGTGGTAAGCACTCTATCTCCATCACTCCTTGTTTACAAAAGTTGTTATCAAGACATTATAGTCCTAACTAGAAGTCCCAGCCAACTGTTCTGATCTTTTTGTTATAAGATGAGATGGTTGACAGGATATCTGTAATACTGAGCATTGAAACAAATTGTGGAATATTAGAAAGCAAGCAGAAGGCAATCAGATTATAATTGTCACACCATTTAAATCCATGTTGGTGCAACAGTGGATTAAAATGGTGTGACAATTATAATCTGATTGTGTGATTGCTATTTGTTTTTGACATCTGCTTGCTGTGTGGGTGTCAGGTGTAGCTCAGTGTTTGCTGAGCAGTGTGACTTCTGCTCATTTGCTTGTGAGACTGTTTTCCAGACTATTGGATTTCAGCATGACTGTCTTCTTGCATTTAACCTACCTGGAGAACTGTCTTACAGTAAGGGCCTATCACAAGATTAAAGAACTTCAGAGACTTCTAGAAATTGCCTACAGCAACTACAGACAGCTGGGGGGAATAACTGAAGAGGAGAAGAAGATGAGAAAAGAAGAAAGGAAAGTTGAGAAGTAAGGTCATTCTGCCCTGCTAATGTTTAACTCTGTGAGGCCCATTTTAAATCCTCCTTTAAAGCTGTTTTACACTCAAATTTGCATTTGGCCATTTTGTCTTTTCCACTTACCAACTTCAACCAGGCCAAAATAAATGAACTGCAGCAATTTGTCTGGCCATTTCTAAACTTCTACCACCAGGATCAGCCCCACAATACAAGTGCTTGATAGGTCCATGATTCTTGTGTGAGATCATCTGTTCAGTCTTCAGGTTTCTCTGCAGATGTGTGGAGTAGGTCTGATAGTTTCTGACTGTTTTGTTTCCTCTGAGGATGCCAAAGACATGTATTCCCTTCAGGAAATCTGAAAATAGGCAAAAGTCTTAGCATGGCTTGGATGGAAGAGCACATACAGCAGAGATTATTCAGTGACCTGCTAACCTTTCTGTTCATTGGCAATATGTTTCTGTGCTCAAGAAAGGATTAGCTTGTATCCAGACTACGGGAAAAGACTACCAGCAAACCTGCCCTTGCATGTAAAGCATTGTTCATAAGATAAAATTCTCAATGTCTCCATTAAATCCAATGGTTCTGTTAGGTTGGTCAGGTGATTTGATGGACAGACTGTCTACATTTCAAAGAAAAGTCTATCAAAGATTTAGAGACTTAACAATACTGCAGCCTCCAAAGACAGGCCTGTCTCGACCTCTGCCTGTCAAATATTTGGCTACCCTTTGTTCTCAGTCTCTGTAGATAACCACCCCCATCATGTGTTTGGGCCAACCCAAACCACTGTCTTTATTTGGTCACTGTCTGGGGGGCTTATACACCATCAAGAAGACAACAGACTTAGCGGTTGATCTGGAGCAGACAATAGGTGTCACAGATTGCAATTAAGTATTTTGTTTTACAGCCATATCTGAGCCAGGAAACTGAGGTCAGGATTTCTTCTGGTTCCAGGTCACTCTTTGACTCAGCTTATGCTGAAAGTCCATCTTGCTTAACTTGATATGTATACAATAGGTAACAGACACCTCTGGCTGAGTTAGTTATCATGAACTCCTTTTTCAACTTCTTGGAGAGGTGTAGGCACTTCCAGGGCATAATTAGACATGTACTTCAGGATGAGACTGATCACTTCTAGAAGTGTCTCTCCTGGTTTTAGAGGAGGGTGACAAACTTAGGTGTTGATGCCCACATTGAAAGGTCAGAGCAATCTGGTTTCAATGATGGAAAAGTCACTGTTGACTACTGACAGACAGGAAAGTTCATTTTGGATAGAGCAGCTGCTCAAAAACTAACAGTGTTTATTAGAAGGCTCTGCTAGCGCTCTTTAAGGGGTGTTGCTTTCTCTGGCATGTATGGCTAAATTAGAAAAATTGTGAGGTTCTCTGAAGGGTTTCTCCCACCTGTCAAGGCTAGAAAGCATCCCTAGACCCAAACTATTCTTTTGAAAAGAAATGGGGCTTGTCAGAATACCTGCCGACCCTTCTCAGAGTACCTATCTGTAGATAAACTCCAAGGTGCTTGTATCATAGGCCAGAAAACCTCATTATTGATAAAATACTTAATGACAACACCATTTTGCTAGATGAAAAGCAGGAGTTTCCACTTGGGAAGGCCACTGTAGCAGATTTTGAAGATTTCTGCTTTAGTCCAGGTTTTTTGGCTGTAGGAGGCCTGGTGTGAATCACTTCACAGTGCTTTAACCAGGGTTCGTTGCAGGAAAGTGTCACCATGGGTGTGCCACACAGTTTGGGAGCTGTGTCTCTTTAATTGGAAGCATGGAAGAAGTCAGCTGTCCCCTGAGCACAGGGCCATTCTTGCAGTGGCAGTAAGGCTGATTGGTAGCTCAAAAGGACCTGAGTCAGGAATTCTCACTCTGGGAAACAGGGAAACATGGTAGGTCTTGCTGAGAGCTTTCCTCCTGTGCTGTTTGAATGCATAGGGCAGATATCTCCTCTTTCCTTTTACTGATCTTCCATCCTTGTAGCTGGGATAATTCATCCTGATATATGAGAGAGCCAGCTCAACTCCGGAGACTCAGTTTATGTGTGAATTACGTGTCAGCTAAACAGTTCCAGGAATCTCAAATAATTTAGGAGCCCTTGAGGGTGTAACCAGTGAGATCTTGTGCAACTGTGTATAAGCCAGTCATGCAAGCTGTCATCTGAGTATTTCTCATCTGTGCCTATGCCAATCAATAGGAAGGGTGTAGAAGCACCAGATGTGATTGAGAAAGCTGCCCCTGACCTTTCCAGAATGCTGCCGGCTTTGTGCTTTTTCTCTGTTTCATAATAACTTCGTGGTTACGTGGGCACTTCTCCCTTCTCCCTCCCCCGCAGCTGGGGCTTGGCCGGGTGGCAGGCAGCGCGGCCCGGGCTCGGTGTGCGGGCAGACGGCTCCATCTCGTGGTGCCATGGCGCTGAGCACCGCTGGCAGCCGAGGAAGGACAGCTGCTGCTCAGCGCTGTCCCCAAGGCTCCGGAGCTTTCTGCGTGTCTGACCTGGTCCCTGGCAAAGGCACTGCGCCACGTGGAGCAGCCGGGGCAGGGCTGGATGTACTTCATGCTCTGCTTGTCTCCTTCGCTTTTGGCAGGGCTGTGAGGGAGCTGGAGGCGCAGCTGGAGTATGAGCGAGTCAGGCGGGAGAAGCTGGAGAGCCAGCTGGATGATTACCGTGCTGAGATAAACCAGCTCCGAGAGGGCCGCGGGAAAACCCGCACCGCCTCTGCTGCCTCCGTGGTGAGTGCCACACCAGCTCCCCGGGCGGGGCACAGAGGCCCCTGCCTGCTGCTTCTGTGTGTTTGTTCCCTCTATTAGAGGGCACAGTCTAGAGAAAATGTGCTAAAGCTTTCACCTCGGGACGCTGGAGTGAGCAGAGTGACCCTTGTCTGGCCTTGACAGTGTCTCTGCTGTGAAAGGGTATCAGTTTCTTTCTGTACCCTGGCAGAAAAGCATAGCTATTCTTCATCTTAATGTTCACCTAAGGAGTGGGCTGATCCCCAGTGCTTCCCTACTGCATAGCCAGTGACTGGCAGTTCCCCTTGGCTCAGTCAGACCTGGTGTCTGGGACTCGAATGGTGCTTCAGGAGAGGTGTCACCACCTAAAGGGCCACCCAGCCTGCACGGCTGTAAAGATTGCTACCATGGGTCCCCAGAGTGGGACAAATTGAATAACAGGGACTTGATCCATGTCACAGTGTCTGGAGTCAGTCAGGCATACTGAATAAGAGCCCAAGATCTCATAGAAAATTTATGGAGAGAATTCAGTCTGTTTGGGAAAGGAACAGTATGTGCAGCACTAGGAGTTCTCAGACAGAGGTTCTATTTTGAATTAAAAATTAAGCTCTTTTTATATGATAGAGACCTAAGAGAAAAGAGGACACCAACACTGCAAGCAGCCAGTAGGTGATGATACTTATTTTTTACTTTCACCTGTACAATAGATGGCAATAGATGATGGTGCTTCTAGTCTTTCAGAGCATTTTTTATTTCCCAGACTATTTTCCACCTTTTCAGTCAATTGCCTCTGCAGTCCTTTGTTTTTGTGCTTCTTGGTGGAATCTCAGGCTCTGAATACTAGCTGCCACAGCTGTATTTCAGAGAGGCCAGCTGCACTTTTTCAAGGATGTTTCTACTTCTCAGCCTTGTGATTGCCAGGCTGGCAAACATTTCTCTGTCAATATTTTTCATTAGGCAGTTTTTGGTTTTGGTAATTTTCCACTTCTAACCAAGCAGCCTTTCTGTCTGAGTGACTGCTACAGCCAAGAGAGCTTCAAGTCTCACACTGCTGAGCTGCCATCCCATGCCCCAGGACTGTGCTCTGCCCTCAGCTTCAATCTGAACACAGTATTCTGTGGTTACTCCCAGATGTGGATTTTCACATCCTTCCAGTGGTTCCTGTTTAATGGCTGCAGTATTCTTTGTTTCAGGAAGCTGAGACAATGGCCAAGTCTTGCAAAGATGAAAATAAAGAAGCAGTCAGCCTGCAGCCCAGGAGGAGTGCGACTACACTGAGGAACGAACCTCAAAGGAGGGGCAGCAGACTGGAGGTACAAAAGCAATATTCCAGATAATGCAAAGTGTTTGCACAGCCCAGCTCTATAGATGAGCTGTGGGTCTCTACTTTTTAAAAACACTGAATTGTTTTTAGTTCTCTAGTTCTCTGGCCTAACAACAAGAAAGTCACAGGCCCTCATAATTCTGAGGAAAGTATCTCCATTCACTGGTCTATTTTGTACTGCCACCTTAGGATGGCAAAAGTGCACATTACCTCCTAGCATATTCAGTGTGGAAGCTGAATAGTGGATGAGAGAATTACTCCTCAGCTGTAGAGAGGTGCCAGGCCCCTTGATTTCCATCTTTAGTCATTCCTAAAGAAGGCAGGAAGCCAGTCCTTTGTGAGGTTTCAGCTGACCTGCAGCAGTCAGTCTCAGGGCCTGACTCAGGGCTGAAGGGTTTACTAAGTTATGGGGTAGCTTGTGGTTAGAAATTGCAACCCCGACCTCTCCTACATACCTAAAAACCATTAAATGACTACACATATAAAAGCTTTTCTGTCAGCTGTATGCTACTGTGAAATTATTTTCCCTCTGGAACCCTCATTTTGAGACTTAGAAGAGAATTATTTTAGTATGTCAGTCTTGACCCATCCTCTCCTTAGTACCAAAGAAAACTGCATCTGAGAATTTCAAAGATACTGAAAAATAAAAATCCATGGTTTTGTGTACACCATGAAGGAGAGGCATGCTGACTTAACAGCCTTGCATCAAGAGCCTGGTTCTTGGTGTGTAAAATGATGGTGGTGACAAGCTGCAATAGATGAGCTATTTCCTGCATCACCATTGGTGCTAAACTTTCATGCAGAAATTGTCAGCCAGACAGCAAATATAAGAAATTAATTTTATTTTCTTGAATGAAGATGATAAATAATTTAATGCGGAGAATGTAAGAATTGGCAGAATACCAGCAAGTTCAACTGTAAACAGAATAAAACAGTGATGAAAAAAAATTGCCAGTACTCAATACTACAACAGTCCTTAGCCCATAAAAGGCCTATTTTTACTTCAAAGTTAATCCAGAAAGACTTAAAAAAATTATTATTATACTGAAAGAATCAAACCAAGCATATGCATTTGTACTCAACAAAATGGAACCGCTTCACTTTTGGAAGGCATCCCCTTGTGTTGTAACTGCAACAGGAACGGTCAAGTCCTTGCAGAAGGCAGAGTGGTCACGAGGGTCAGTGTGTCCCATGGGATTGCAAAAACCCCTGAAGGAGGGGGGAGGAGGATCACCACCACCACCCTGGCACCACTGAGATTCTGAGTATTTCCGTATTAAAAGCCAGATGCTATGCCCAGAAAACATGGGCAGGTTTCTTGGAAATTCTCTGCAGTACTTGAGGGGGGAAGTTAAGAGCATTTATCTGCCCCAGGGCTGCACACAGCTGCTGGGAGTGGAGGCATTTCCCCTTGGAAAGGCAAAGACAGAGAAGTTTTCCCATTCTTTGGACCTCTGGGCGTACAGAAATTGCCGGAGATACTAACAAAAATCTATAGAGATATTTTATACATGAGATTTTGAATTAATTTAAATCAGTTTTCAAGGAAAAAAAAAAAAGTTTCTTTAGTAAAGGCCCTGGAGTGTGTTTTTACATATGTAGATTAAAAAACCAAAGGGACAAGCTTCAATTCATCAAAAAAGTGAGGAACAGACTGGAGGCAAAATCCTGAACCTATGTTAAAGAATAATTTACTTGGATCAGATTAGGTAGTTTGAAGTCTGATATTAGCATCCTCATACTGGGAACTCTAATTTGGGAACTGTATTCCCATTTCTACAGTATATAAAATGTTTAATATTTCCATTCTCAAAGGAGCTGAGAGTGAGAATTTTCCAGAAAGAAAACAAATTCAATTCTAAAAGATACTAGGAAACTTTCTGGTATAGCATAAGAAATACTCTGAAATAAATACAGTATTGAATAGGAGGCAAGGAAATATTACTATTTGGCTACTTCCCCCCAATTATTTTGATCTTTAGTGTGTGTGTTAACATATTGAGAAAATATTTCTATTGTACAGTAAGAATATCAAAACCAAAAGGTGCCAAGGTTATTGTCAAAGTGCTGTTGCCTGGGTGGCCTTTTCTGTCTGTATTTAGTGCAGTCATTCCATGTAGATCTATTTCCAGAACCTGTAAAACCCCAGTGCTATTGCTAGGCAAGTGAACACTGAGGCTGTTAAAAACAAAACAAAACAAAAAAGAGATAATTAGCTGAATGCTGTTGTACCACTTTATCCATAGAAGAAATCAGCTGCAAACAGATGGAGGAATTAACAACTGTAGAGCAGAGCCTCCTAAACCTCCCAGATTGCTGCAGGTGTGACAGAACAATTCCAGAAGCCAATGGCTGGACTCAGGTGCCGTACCCTGCACAGCAGCAGCAGTGCTGAGATGGGAGGCCCAATGCAGCAGCCTGAGGAGCCACGTTTCCAGAGACACATCCCAACAATTATGCTGGATGCCTCAGAGCACCACAGGCTACAGGGGCTTGTACTACTGTCACCCAGCTACTGGAAACCGCACTGCAGGAGAGCTGCCTGCACAAGGCTCACGTTAGACACCCCAAATTTCCCATGGAACCAAAATGACAATGAATTTGAAAATGAGCTGTCAAACACAACAGCACTCCTGAAACCTGACAAGTTGTCTTTTGGATTTGTTACACTGCTGTTTCAATTAGTGTTAGAATAAAGCTAATTACATTTGCCTTTGAACTTATTCTCACTTCCAAATACAATGCATTACTCTCTTTTTATCCAGCTCCTACACAATAAAAACTTCATTGGTTATGTACATATTGAGAAGACTAATCTCAAATTATGTTTTTGAACAAGCAGAAATTTGTTCTGCTCGGCAGGGGAAAAATACAAGTCCTGCCATACAGAAACTGTGTGTCCGTGAAGTTTCCTTAGGAGGCAGAACTGGTCACTCTCAGACGAGTCCTGAATGACAGAAAACCTTCAGGTAAATGACTTCACCAAAACTTCTGAAGGAACTCCATCACATCAATAGCTGCTACAGCAAGCAGAGGTACTGTCAAACTGGGTAAGGTATTTAGACTTTTAATTTTTTTTTTAACCATGTCTATATTCGTCCTAATCCCAGTTCTGGGCACAATCCTAGTCCCATGGTGGCATGCTCCCACCTCTTCTGTGTTCTCTGTCACATTTCTTCCAGCTGGAGGAGGAAAGGGAGAGCTCCTCCACCCAATCCCAGTTGCCTACTGCTACAGCTACCCTCATTTAGCATATACTCCCGAACAGAATTTTATACAGCCACAACCCAGTACCAGTACTCACCTCCTTGCCTGTCACATACCTGCCAAATAGCGAATGGTATCAAGTTTATTTGATTCCATGAGTGTTTTTAAGGAAGCTATTTCAGTGTCAATTTTATTACTGATTTCTGAGATAATACTGTTGGTATTTGCATCCTGAAATATTAAAAGACAGCATATATTTGACAATGGTCTCTAGCCCCTTCAGCTTTCCAAAGCTGAACTAAAATACCATGCTACCAGAAACAAGAATATTTCCAACCTATCACTGCTAGGAGACATTAGAAGACAGAGCAACTGGCTTCATACAATCTAGAAAGATTGCTGAAGGGATAGAGACAGTGAAAGAGAAAACTTCAATGATCATAGAATCACAGACTGGCTTGGGTTGGAAGGGACCTTAAAGAGCATCTCATTCCAACCCCCCTGCCATGGGCAGGGAGCCCCTTCCAGTCTGGCCTTGAACATTGCCATGGATGGGGAGTCCACAGCCTCTCTGGGAACCTGTGCCACTGTCTTGCCACCCTCATGACAGAGTTTTGTCTCTGATGTGCCACTGCCTCCTGAAGGAGACACTGGCACATCAGAGCCAAAGAACAGTATCAAAGCACACAGAACAGTATTCCTGCATTTTTGAAAAACAAAGGTTTAAGCATTCACAAGGCATATCGCAAAAATGGAAGATATGCTCAAGATGGGACATGGTCCCTCTTCAGCCCCCTAGACTCTGGTGTCCTCTAGCAGCTTCAGGACTTCCAGCCCTTGAATTGCTTGGCTGTAGGCACCTACACCATCCCTGTGATACAGCTCATCAGTTAACACTGGGAAAAAGGAAGCATGACAGCTCACATCCCAGCTGTGCCAGCCTGCAACAGTACTTGGGAAGTGAGGGACAAGGCTGGAATGCCTCCCTCTGCTGACTGGAGTTTAGTGTGAATCCCAAAGGCAAGAAACACCTGCAACAGCCCTGAGTGATAGAGCCTGGCCTTTTGCTTTACCATACCCACAAACCTATTAGCTTTCACCAAAGTTTGGGGTTTACAGAACTTGCAATGCATAACTATATCCTGCTTTGCTCAATACTTACTTTTTTATGAAACTCTGTAGTTGCTTCCATCAGTTTCCTCTCCTGATCTGTAAACTGTGGATAAAAGATAACATCACAGCTATAGCAACAGAAACACAACACAAAGCTAATAAGGGCATCTCACAGATCAACTCACCATATCTGTCACCCTGCTCCTCTCCAGGTTTATGTCTAGCTTGCTGTCAGCTCGGATTTTGCTGGTTTCAGTCTTTAAAACAAATTAAGATTATGAAAATAGCTACTTATTCTCCCTAATGGGAGTGTGTAGGTAATTGCTGTTTACTTACCATTAGCTGCTGTTTAACTTGATCTAATTCAATTTTCATTTTCTAAGGGCAGAGGAGAAAAAAAAAATTTTTAAAAATTCAGGAAACTTAAGCAAATTAATCAGTGATGTAAGTGTTATCACTGCATCCATCCAATTATTCTTTCTCCATTTTTCCTCCCAATGGGGCAATTTGTTCTTGATTAAATATCCTAGCTAATGTGTTCAGATGTACAGGCATATATAATCTGCTGGGAATTTTGTTCAAAAGAAAGGATTTATTTTGTAACAATGACGATCTTGTTATTCTGAGTCTAAAGACAGCAGAAAAATACCAAAATACCATGAAGTAAAAGCAAAATATGTCTCAATCACCAAATTAATTAAATTGTTGCAAAACAATGGCTGACTCCTCTACCTGCACTATATGGTTAATGGCCAGAAGCTAGCAGTTACCCTTAAATAAAAGTACAGAAGCTGAAAAAATGTACCTATCTTAGAATCCTTTACAGAAGATCTGAGCACGTCATAGCAAGTGAAATATATTTTTACGTGATCTCTGAAGTTGTAACATACAGACTCTTCAATTCCAATTACAGAATTACTTTTACATTTATATTTTGTTCCACAAAACTGTACATCAGGTAAAACACAACAAATACTGCAATTAAAATGCTTAATGAAAATATATATTAGTACCTCATTCTCTGCTCTCAAGTTAGCAAATTCACTTTTCTCCAGGATGACCATATCTTTTCGAATGGAGTCCAAATGTGCCATTACTTGCTGTAAAGTTATTTCCTTTGAGAAATAAAACATGCCATTGATTAAGGTGCACTCTTTCTGACAAGTAAAGAAAAATGCTTAGGTCTGAAATGATGAAATTAGCTACTGCAAAGCCCAAAAGTGGGGAATCTCTCTAACAAGAATGTGACAGAAACAGACAATTTAATACCAGCAATTTATTTGAAAGACTCAAGAGTTTTGTGCTTTTTCTGTTGCTTTAATTCACCAAGTCTGAACTTAAGCAAAAAGGCCAGAGGTGTCAGTCCAAGTAGCAATAAAATGAAATAGACCTGAAACTACAAGTCCCTCCTGCAGTCTCTTCCACTTTCAATGAACATTCAGTAGCCTCAGAAGCATTAATTGTACATCTGAATGCAGCTCTTACTAAGCACTTGCATTTCTTGCCTACAAACTCATTGAAAGCCAAAGACTTAATGAGTATCATACTGCCAGCTTCCAAGTCTGATGGACAGAACTGAAACACTGCTAGAAAGCACTGAGAAAAGCCTTCCCGGGGTTTGAACTAACAAGTTCAGAATTCAACCACTACATATAAACACAGGAAGAAACCCAAACCAGAAAATAAAAGAAGAAACTCAGAATTTTAAAATGCTGAAAGCAATACTCCTTCACCCAGCATATGGAAATTACCCTACTATTTAGCATGGAAAAAGACACATTGCTGTGCGATTCTCTGATGCACAGTGATCGTTTTGGTCATTGCTCCAGAAGGTTGTGCAAGCTGAAATTATGTGCTATTCTTCTTTAATTACTTAATGTAATTAAGCATTCATTGCTATTTTATTTCAACTCCTGAGCCTTTCTTCTAACAGTAAGATTTTTATCTTACTGGCATTTACTTGTAATAAAAGTTGTCTAACTTTTTTTCCCCCTTCTAAATCTCAGAAGAAAACAAGAACTTCTGTCTCTGTAATTTTCTTTCATCAAAACGAAAACTTTTCTTTTTGGAAATCCTATTACATGCAAAACATTCCTAAACAGAATTTTCATGGAATTGCATTAGGCAGAAACACTGTTTTTTAGAGTGTAGTCAGTATTGATAATGAATATTTTAAGATGGTACGAGGCATATTATCTCCTCAGTGTAAATGCAACCAAAGTTTTCCCAGGAATTGTAAAAACTTGATTGTGTTCAATGAAGTAGTCAGACTTCAGTGGCAGCTGGTCAGGCCCTATAACCTTCTGTTAAAATCCTGAGTGAAACTTAGGAAAACCTGGCACAGTGAAGCGTTTATAGTACTAGAGAGAGCTGCTCACTTGTGTTTTAAAGATGCACACATGAGCCTTTATAGCACAGAGGAGTTTTTACCTGCTGGGCCTGCGTAACCATGTCCTTGTAGACGGTGTCTAAGCTGACATTGGACAGGGTTATCAATGCTGACACGATGGTCTGTGCCTGCTCCTTCCCAAAGCCTAGGGAACAATTGAAGTATGACAAGTGAAGGTGGTATTAAAAATGCGGATAAGGAGCAAGAGACACTCAAGTGTCACAGCAAACCACAGCGACACATTCACACAATGACTGGGAACTGAGAGCCAGGAGCCAGGCACTGCGACTCCAGCCAGAAAAAACAAACTTAATGCTGCAAAAATCTGAAGCACAGCACCTTTTAATATACTGGAAGTCTAGACATGCAGCTGAAAGAAAGACCAAATTTCTTCATACAAGATCCAGCCATTCATGCGTTATAAAAATAATTTAGCAAAACTTTACTTCATAATGAACTTTCACAAATTCTGTTTAAACCAAACTTACCTTGAGCTACAAAGCATGGACTCTATAGAATAATAACAAGTAATTCTGCATATATTGGAACTGTCCTGCAGAGACAGGAACATATGCAAGACTGATTTTTAAACTGCTTCATCCATTGCCTGCAGAATGAACTCAAACTGGGATTTTTGCTTTCTGATGATAAAAAGTACATTTTGTCTGTAGCTTGATGTAAATTTGATATGTTACAGATGATGTGTAGTGAATAATGGGGAAGAAAAATTGCTCTCACTTTAGCTGGATCTGTTCAAGTGCTGAGAGCTTTTGCCTTAGAAATTTATTTCCAGCAATCTGACTGATATGTTGTGTTTCAACTACCCCATTTTATAAAGTGGGCTAAATTAACATTGAAAAATGCTTTCTAGGCACATTATTTAGAGGACTATGCCACTGCACCCTTCTAAAATACTGGTACTGTCCAGGTGCACCACTGGTTTACATGTCTAAAAAAGCTACACATGCTTTATGACAGCTTCCTTCCACTACGAAGTGTGATAGTATTGCTTCAGTTTCTCTGAATTTTCAGGGTTACTTAAGCTCTTGCCAATTCCTTATGTTGCTCTTCCTCCACAGAAAG